GTGGTATCTGAGAAGCTCAGATCAAAAGGAAAAACAATAACTCAATAGGACAGCACGATAATGGACGAGGACATGGTTAGGATGGGGAGGACCTCAGGTGTTTATAATCTCTGGGGGAAGAACTGAAATAAGGAAAGTTAAGGACACAGAAGACAGAAGTGACACTAGATGAATCAGAGTGTTTTAGGGAGAAAGAAGAAGACCAGGATCCCAATTAGCTTCAGACAGGGCAACACTGGACCTCGTCTTCTGAGACCACAGGGAAGATGGGGGCAGATAGAGATGAATGTGTATACATCACAGCAGAAGTTAAAGCCATTATTATTTTCCTTTGAATGAGTGGAGGTGCCTCCTGAGAGTGATGGGGAGAGATCAGAGGGAAGTCGGAACGGTTTGAAATAATTGCCCAGAAAATGAGAACAGTGACTCCCCAGTAACAAGACATTGGCAGTCTCTACAGCTGGCTGAAGTTGTGCCTGTCAGCATGTGGACCTTGCAGGGCAGGGTGAATGACTATGGCTGGGGTGTACTGGGCTTGGGGTGAGGATCTAAAAGGAAATGGGGCTCAGATCCTGCTTCGGAAACCCAATGTGTTGTAAGGGTAAGAAGTTGGGAGAGCCTCACTGCCCCCCGAGTCTTGTCCACAGACCAGTGAAAGGAGGATGGGAAGGAAAGGCTAGGCAGGCAGCGGAGGCTGACGTGAGCATGCCAGCCCCTGGACAGCCCAGGCACCACCTGCCGCCAGATGTTAAGAGAAACTCCTGAACAAAGTGTGACTGCCTCCACCCAGCCCATCAACTCCCTTCCTGTGGCCGCAAAGGTAATTTAGTGTCTTCGTCTCCAGAAGCTCTTGCATTTATCAGCAGCAGCGGCACGATTCCTGGGGCTGTAAATCATAACGCTTTAGGTGTATTTCTCTTGAGTTGACACTCCCTTATAAATAATGTGGGGGATGCTTTTATTTTGTTGGCAGAAGACTGCTTTCTCCCTCTCCTGTTTTTAGAGTGACCTTCTTTCTCAGTCAAATGTGATATATCCAAGAGGCTCATTTACCAGGTCTTCCTATGCACCAGGTAATATGGGAGCAGGTATAAACAGGAGTCCTGTTCTCTACTATTACACAGCCTCCTAGCAGAAAGGACACACATATCTATTCAAATTTAAAATCCAAATGGCCTTTGACCCAGAGAATCATTTACCTATGTTTATAAGGATGCATATTTTTCAAAACTTCACATGTTAATAGCAAATACCTGGAAAGCACCTTAAAGTGAAATAAGGACACTATAGTTAAATAAAGCATGGCAACTTGTGCAGGAATTATAAAGAATGAGATAGACTTATGCATACTGGTAAGGAAAGATCTCCAAGGTGTATTGTTGAGGTAAAAAGGCATATGTAAAAATTTATGAAGAGCGTAACACATAATTATATAATTTATGTTTTTAAAAATCCCACAGATATGCTGTGCTATATATTTGCTACAAGTACCTGTATATGTTTACAATATATACATTTAGAAAGAGATATAGAAGGATATACACCAAACTGAAGATGATGGATGCTTCTGAGAAGGGATCTTAAGATTGCAATGGTGGCCAAGGGGATTTTAGCCTTCTGATATAGTTTTTTAAGAGAGGAAGTATTCATAGATTACTTGTGCAATTAAAAAGAGCTAGAACTCAAGACACCTGTACTCTCAGTCAATTCATACTATAAATTTGGATACGATGTTTCCCTCTGCAGACTTCAATTTTTCCTATCTATATACTGAGCAAGTTTGGCTGGATAATCCTAGTGATCCTTTGAAACTCAGAATGTCTTGAGTCTTCAAGCTGTAAAGGTATTCAAAGGAAGGATTTTCGGGCTCAATGTCATAGGATCTGGCACTTGATAGGCACTTGGTTTTGGCTGAACATTGAATATTGAATAATAACCCTTAAGCAGTTTTAGTATTAATAAACAGAGGGCAGATTTTTCCAGTAAACTACACCAGGTGAGTAATCTACCTCCTGGATGAATGTCAGAGAACTGTGGTAGTGTGGCAAATAAAATAGAGGTTTTGGAGGGATTCCGACCTAGATTCAAATTCTGGCTCTTCCACTTACCTGCTTTGTGCTGTTGAGTGAACTACCAACCCTCTCTGCGCCACAATCAATGCTAAGCTGTGACCAAAGACAGTTACTATTTCTGCTTTAGCTTTGGCACTCTGGTCAGTTATTCATTCAACAAACATTTATTGAGCACCAACAGTGAGCCAGCCCTGGGTATGTAAACATGAGGAAGACAGACAAGAAGTTTCTTCTTACAGATATGTAGGTATCTGCCTTGCCTCCTGTCCCCTCCCTGTTCTTGGTGCAAGCACTTTCACTCCAAACAGGAGCTGAACATGACCAAGGACTTGGAAGGGGAAACGGAAGAGAAAAGGGAAAGAGACTGGATGGGGTTCTCTGGGAGATGCTGGAGATGCCTGAGGGGCTGTTGCAGGAGCTGTAAGACCATCTATGCGTGGATCAGTTGCTCCCCCTTCTCTGGGTCTCAGATTTCTCTTCTGTAACATGAAGATAGACAGTGAAGTCTATCTCCTGGGATTCTTCTGGGCGTCAAATAATTACTAATGCTGACAAAAATGGCTATTTTTTTTAGCTCTTTCTAGGTGCCAGGCTCTGAATGAAAAGAGACCTGTGCATCATCACATTATCCCCAATAACAATCATGGTTTACTCAGGAGGAAACATGAACAGAGAAGTTAATCAGCTTGCCCAAAATCTCACAGCTGCAGATATGCAAATAAAGAATGGAATATTATTTTTAATTCTGTGTCCAGGTCCATACATAGTAAGGATTTAAAAAATGCTTATTGAAAGTTACATGTACTGCTTTGTCTTGTTGTTCTTTAAAAGTTTACTCTAAAAACTATACATTGTATATGTTTTCCTATAGATTATGCTTTCTAGTTCAGTGCTAGAGAATTCAGTGAATTTGGAAGCAGCCAGAACACTGATTAAAGGTGAATCTCTGTATAGAATAACAATTCCAAAACTTTTCAACAGGCCATTACAATGTAAGAAGTGCCTACTTTTTGTTATTTGACAATTATCAATTATATCTTAAACGCTTATAGCAAATGGAAAAAAAAAGAATTGGAATCCAGACCCTCTGACTTCAGATCCTGCACAGAAACCACCATATTATACTGAGGAAGGAGACCCTTAATCCTCTTAAGCTTCTAAGAGCCCTTCCCCTAGACTTCTACATTGCATTTTAATAGGAGAAGTAAAGGCTGCCAGACCAGGCATCACTTTTCATCACACTCCAATAGATCGCAGGCATGGTATAGAGAAACCTTTCCAGAAGGTATTGTTTTTACTTAAACACGATCACACCCCCAACTAAGTCACGTACCCCATGCCTACTTCACTGATCAAGATCCTTTCACATGTAATTTCTAGAGTTGTAAGCCTTTAAAAGGGCAAGGACTTTCTTTGTTAGGGGAGCTTGGCTATTTGGGGCATTCAGAACCACTGCAGCTCCCTGCTGAATAAACACCCCTTCCTTCCCAGTTTGGCGTTCCAGACATTTTGTCTGTGGGCTGTCCCACAACACTACTACATCCCATTCAAACAGGTGCCAAACAACTTATGTGAGGCTGTGATTCATAGGTTAGGATCCTTATCATGTACCCTAATATAATTATAACTATAAAACTTGTTTATTTGGTTAATGAGGATTCACATTCTTCTCTGGCTGCCTCCAATTCTCTGTCTGCCACTGGCAGACAGGCTAAAGCAAAGGTAATTAGTTTCCAAAAGAAATAAAGTCCTCATAGTTCAGAGTTCACAGAGGACACAATTCCCTTCTTCATACAGGGCTTTGTTTTTAATTAAGAGCAGTAATCAGATAATCTTGCTTTAATTAACTCCCCAGAAGTACCCCATTCTTGGAACCTCTCTTTGATGTTTTCACATCAAGTCTTTCAGCCTAAGATTATCTGCAGACATGCACCAGACATCTACCATCTGCCAAATATGCCCAAAAGGTTAGCATAAACTCCCACGCCCTTCTTTTTGTAAAGACAACCCCTGCATCAAAGCAAATATGTTTTGAGTCAGAGGGGTTGTCTCGGTTTGCTCCATGACTCTGTGATTTTTTTTTCAGTCTTATCACATTGGTCCTTCTGTTCACAGAAACTGTGTGCATTTCATCTTAATTATGCATCTCTTAATCCATAATATCTGATTTATGGCCATTTACTCTTAATTACAAGAGGGCCACCTTTGAGAAGGGAAACCAAGTGAGCTCAGAGAAATGGAGCTTAAAAGCAAGAGGGAAGGTGGATGATTGAAGTTGTGCAACTAAGGATGAATCCAAAGGCCCATTTGTTTGAGGCAATTATTGTTGGCAATCCTGTAGATTTGTGAGGGTCCCATATCAGGCCACACGTGAATTCATCCCTTTCTATGGTAAGGAAATTATATAACTAAAAATAAAGCTACAATCCAAAGAAAGCTAAGATCTCCAGGCAATAAACTGTCTAGCCCAATTTTTTAATAATGACTCTCTATTTTTTTTAAAAAAATGGAAGTGAATATGTTTATTAGAATTTTTTTGAACCTGTAATTATCCATAAATGGAGAAAAGAGTATGACTTGCCTTAAATAGAAGGCAACGAGAACAACTATTACTATATTTTTAAAACTGTTCACCTGGAAAACCATGCTCCAGAGAGGACTGCATTAGGTCCTCATTGTTTCAACCATTTGGGTTGGTAAATAAAATTATATTCCATGTTTCACAGATGAGGAAGTAGAGTTCCAGAGAGGGTAAGGGATCTGCCTAAAGTCACAGAGCCAGGAAGTGGCAGAGTTACACCTCAGACTTTCAGGACAATGCTTATTCTTGCCTATGCCAGAGAAAGCGAAAGACTTAAACAACAACTTGCAAAGTCAGAGATTCTTCAAGCTATTGGCCATCCACAGGCAGCAACAAGACACTCTTACCTGGGGCTGAGAATGTGGCTGCTGGTGGCTGACTGTCGAGAAGGAGTCCTCATAGTATCTGTGGCCAGGGACAGAGTACAGCTCAACCAGGACTGCAGACTGCCCTCTGGCTGGGAGCTGAGGATGGAGACGTTATCCCTAGAATAAAATTGCAGGACACCATCAGCACAATGACAATCACAGTAACAACAATAATTAGATATTTGCCCATAGCATAAGCCAGGCATTGTACTAAGTAATATACCTGCATAACCTCACTCACCATCCCAAAAAAGTAGGAGCCAGTGCTGCCAAAATTATACAGATGGAATTACTGAGATTTGGAGAGGCCAATTTGGCTTTTGGCCAAGGTTGCTCAGCTAGTCAATGATGAAATTGGGATGCAAACCCTGTTCCTTTTTATTCCAATGCCCATGCTATTAATCATGGCACTCTTCCTTGAGGAGATGCACACTCCAATTTAAATGTCGAGGTCTCTCCAATGTGGGAGTAAAGTTTGGTACTGAATTTGATATGTCCAAGGAATATATCAAGTGTGAAAGTCTTAACTCCTTCCTTACCTTGGGTGGATCATCTGTATAAACAGGGACTTTACTTTTATGTCCCCTAATTCTAAAAGCAGCACAGAAAGAGAGAGGGTCCTCGCAGCTCCTCAATGAATCCACGTTAGTTGATACACTCACTCAATATTATGTATATGTGTGTGTGCATATATATGCATGTGTGCATCTTCATATATTAATATGATTTATGTGGGTATGTTCTATATATATTATAACATATATAATGTTTTTTATAGGATACTCTATGTATGCCAAGCACCTTGGGGAGGGAAGCTGTCCACATGAACTTAACATTGAACCTGTCCTCAAGACTCCATTTCTATAAATAGCCATACAATTTTTAAAAATTATTAATGTTTTATAGAGGCACAGAGCATAATCTACCCTCTGTCCCTCTATAAAGCGTTAATAATTTTTTTTTCAAAGAGGGAGCCTTGATTTGCTTTGCAAAGGCCCAAGGAAAGACATCGAGTAGTGATATTTGAGATACATCTTCTTGGAAGGTTGGGGCTTGGCCATGCAGGGACAGAAGAATGAAATTTTTGGTGGAAGCATTTATGTACACATAGATACAGAGGTCATAAAGATCAAGGCATAAGCCATATGGAAAGCAGGAATCACAGCTAGAGGGCAAAGTAAGGATCAGAATGTCAGTGTAAAAAGTCTACTCTGGGGCAATAGGGAGCCTTTGAAGTTGTTTTAGGACAGTGGCATGAGAAGGCATAGGCTTCTTTCTGCCTAAAAGAAACTAGGGCAGTTCAATACTATGTACCTGGTGCTGTATGTATGACCATGAAGGCATTAGTCTCACGAGCAACACTGATAATTCTCTAAGTGGACATGGATGTTCCCTCCACAAACTGGACACAGAGGACCAGGGGCTCACCCTTGCCAGCTGCTCGGTTCTAGTTGGGGTTAACTTACATCTCTTTTCTGCCACTGCTGCCACAATCCACTGCCGTCTGGACACTAGTAAGAGATAGAAGAAAGAGTCTGTTATCCTTGTGCTGCCAGGGACTTGGGAACCTGATCATTGACTTCAGACAGACATGGGTGTGAGTCCCACTTCCAACCTTTCCCCCGTGTGATCTCAAGGAAGTCACTTGCCTTCCCTGAGCTTCCTTTCTTCCTTCCTAGAATGTGGCAAATAAAGGGGCTCTGTTGTGGAGCAGAGTAAGTGAGATAACCATTGTAAAGATCTCAGCATGGTTCCTGGCAAATAGATAGTGCTAATTAAGTGGTAGCAACCATTACCACTACTCTTGTTTTAGTACGACTAGTGCTGCTATTATTAATAGCATTGTTATTGCTACAAGCAAGGCATTTGCTGTAGGTTCTTTGTGAGTGCTAGCAAATCAGACACAGGGCAGGGCAGCTTCCCAGGGCATTGTGGGAAACTCCAAAAGTAATTATGACAGTAGCTATTCTTTAGAGAGCATCCCTCCATTCAACAAATATGCTACACACACAATCGTATCTACCTACCCCATGCATCTCCATGTTAGAGATGAGGAACCTGATACACTTGTATAAGTCACACAGCTTTTGATCCTGGGCCTGTTAAGCTCATGCTCCTAACCAGCGTGTTACTGTTCAGTGGGTGGGTGCAGACAGTCAAACCACAAACCTCAGACACCTAAGACATCATTTTAATCTGGATCGTCAGGCTGGGGCCTCACAGTGCTCTCTGCTGTAATTTGGGCAAGTCCTCTTATAGAAGACCTAGCTGTTTCCTCCAAGAGATGCACCTGCTGCTCCTTGGCTCCCACCCCCAAGGGCCTGTCATCCTGGGGTCTTCTATTTGCATGCATCTGTTCCCACCAGGCAGTGACCAACATCCCTGGTGGACCAAGAACAACTCTTATTTGTGCTTTTGCTCCAGAGTTCAGCCCCAAAGCTCAGCCAGACCAGAAGTTCTCAGCCAATGCTTAGTGAATCCAATAGAAGAGAAGTCAGTGGACGACAGCCATGGGCCAATTCTAGCCTATCATCTATTTTCATAAATAGAGATTTTTGTCTCTGATTGCTTTTGCACCATAATAGCAGTGCAACAAAGACCATATGGCATGAAAAGGCTAAATACTTATTATCTGCCCTTTTAAAGAAAACGACTCTGCAATAGAACAAAAGCACCTTTTGTGAATGACCTCGTGGGAGGCAGAATAATGGCCTCTAAAGATGTTCATACCCTAATCCCCAAAACAAGAGAATATGTTTCCATACAGGGAAAAGGTTTCCTTGGAACACAGTCATCCATTCATTTACATTTTGAGTACTTCCTCACCTGCTTTGACTAAACACCAGTCTTTACTTGAATCCAGCACTCAGAGAAGTCTTTATAGCCCAATAACTAATCAAAGCACACGCTGGTGTTAGTTCCTGTCCACTATCTACCCTGACCGACTCCATCAGTACCAGCCGTATGGGTGGACTCAGCATTCACATTCACCCTCTTTCAAGGGGCTCTTCCCCAGCACTAGAGACTGACTCACTCCATAATGTCTAATCAAGCTGGGCATCTTCTCATCTCTTTACTCTTCTGCATGCTCCTGCTCTCTGACCCACTATGTGTCAGGGGGCTGATCTGTATGGACACCATCAATGGGTTCCCTGTCCCATGGCTTTCTCTTGGGCTCAGCCAATAAGGAATGTAGTTGACAGTTGACAGGAAGGAGGGAAGAGAGGGAAGCTGAAGTATGTATTGTCCTAAATTTCTGGATTTCTCTCTACTGCCTCCAACTCTCAACCAAAGGCCAGAGTTCCTCCTATCAGCCTCTCTATCTCTCTTTCTTTCTGGATTCCAGCAATTGCACCCTCTTCTTCTCCCTTCAGACTCTGGAGGAGTTACTGCTCTCAGTTGCTGCTATTCCCTAGGTGCTGCACCACCTATTCCTTAGAGCTTCCTCACACCTTTGTAAATAGTCCTTTTGTTAAACTCTCTTCATTTAGAGTTTGTCTTCCAGTTCCCTCCAGACTCTATTACAATAGCTAATCTCAATGCTTTTTCCACCTTAACAGAAAGATCTGCATTTACCATACCAATAGTTGACATGACAAAGAAGCAGACGGGAGGCATGACCCAACATTGCACTGCTAACTACTGTACACCCTTAATCACAATGTGAAGAATCAAAAGAGGCGATCTTATATGAGGCTAGATTATCAGCAATCGTTATTAGCCCCTCCTAAGCTTCTGACTCTGGAAAAGAACTAGCCACAAGGACAAATAAAAAAGATGAAAGTACAGCCACTTATTAATCCTACATTTTTATAGTATCTGCACACTGGTTCCTTTTGCCTGTGAACCTGTTTCACTAAATTTGCACAGAATATCTAAGGCTGAAGTCAAGACCCACAGGGTGGTCTATTTGTTTATTCATGAAGAAATACTGTCCTTACAAGAGTGGTGTCTTGCCTGGACCACACACTTCCTACAATTTGAGATGGACTTAAAAGAGAGAGAGAACGTTTATAATACGGAGGCTGAATTAAGAAGAGCTTTGGGAACTATAGCTCACATTTATTATATGAACAAATGCTGAAGGCATCTAATATCTTTATCATGAGATAACCTGGAATAAAGTCTTTGGGACAGGAGGGAAACAAAGGCTTTCGGGTAGAAGCAGCAGGAAGCTTTGTTCTGTCTGCTCCTGAGAAGCATTAAGCCACATGGGTAGAACTTACTACCATGTTGACTTTATATAAGTCATAGGTTATTGGTCCTGGAAAGTACTTGAGTTTGTACACCATGGTGCATGGAGCCCTCAAGTTCTGGGAGACCCCATGAAAAGTGTGGGTACCAAGGGGTCAAGAAAAGAGACCTAGGAGGAAGGATTATCCGCAGACCTTCCTCTCTCACTCGGAGCAGAGGATGGCTGCACTCCATCCTAAGCTACAATTTTGTTTATAAGTTTGCTTTGGTGTAAACAAAAGGAATTCTAAAATAAAGAGGGAGACTGAAATCCATTGACCCTTTTACCACGTGAAGAAAGCGTCTCTGGGCTGCAGGCTCCACAAGGCAAGTCCATGCCTTTTTGTTCCCCAATGTACCCCTGTCCCAACACAGAAGGCTTCCATTCATTGTTTTCTGCTGAGTGGGCAGAGGCCCAAAGGGCAGATGACCTGTCCATCGTCCTGATTCATTTGGTGGTGCACCTGTCTGGGACCCACATCTCCTGACATGCAGTCAGTGGTTCTTTCTCTCCCCTTGTTGCAAGTGGCTTTTTTTAAAAAAAAGAACGTGTGCCAGGAATTTGTAAACAGGGGGTTGATGATGAGCAAGATAATTAAGTCAATGTCTTCAGATGTACTCCTTCAGGGTCAGTCTTTGCCACACAATTCCAGTCTAAATGCAAATGTTGCCTGGGAAGTAAATTCACTGGCCCCATCTCACAGTGACAGACACAAGTTCACCTTAATGACAGGGCAGTTACTGGGCAGAGAACAGAGACCTTGACGAGGGAAAGTAGGAAGTAGGTTACGTCTGACATGACAGCACAGCTTGGCCATTAGTGGTATAGGTTATGGGGTCAGCCTGGAAATCAGATAATGGCTTCGTCACTTACTGCACGGATTGGGGCAAGTTTCTTCACTTCTCAGTTTCCTCATCTGCAAACTGGGAATGATAATGGAAGGAACCTCCCAGAGTCGTTCTGAGGATAACGTATGCAAAACAGGTAGCAAAGTACCCGCGCGAAGTAATTTCTCAAGATAATTATCATTCCTGTAATTATCATTATTTCCTGCAATGCTGGAATAGATAAAGTAGTTTGGAGCCCTGACCCCTGTGAATCCTACTAGCTGAATGTATGGGCTAGAAACACGCTCGGAAAGCCAGGCAGTCTACGAAGCACTATTTAAACAGGCATTGTATGGTACTAACGCCCCGTGTTGTAACCTGAACTGCAGCATCAACCTTCTTAGGTTAATAGAAAGGCTTTAAGCTGTTCTCCCAGGCCTGGAACACATTCATTACTCATGGAGGACAAACTCGAAGGTAAAAAGTTGCAGGAAAAAAGCTGCTGGCAGTTCCAGTGACTGTTCTACTATGCAGCAAGCAACTCTGCAGTTTGGACAGAGCCTGGGTCCACTCCGTTATGAGTAAAATTTTGATGCCGCGAAAGAAACAGCACTCAAAGATACATCCTCTCAGCAAGGCGGTTTACTTCTATAAAAGGGTGGGGCGTACGGATGGAGCGATGGTGGCTGCACGCTTGGACAAGGAGGGGCTTACTTATGCCTGACGGGGGTGGCCCCTACTGCTGTGTCACTCCCCTGTTGGCTAGGGTTAGACCACACAAGCTAGACTAATCCCGAATGGCTATTTTAAAGAGAGCAGGGGTCGGAGCTGGCATGGCAGGGTGGCTGTTTTGGCGGGAAGGAGAGTTACAGGTGGATCAGAGCAGGTAGCTACGGGTGACCTAGGTCAAAGAAGGTGACTAGAGCAGGTGACTGGAGCAGGTGGCCGGGATGAGTCAGGATGGAGCCGGGGGCTGGAGGAAGAAATAGGAACTACTGATTAGAACTGGTGGAGACAGTTGTTTACTGGAATTACAAGGACATTAAACTTTAAAATAGAGAATTAGAGAATAAGAGAGCTGAACATACTGACATACTGATTCTTCGAAGAGAAACTTGGGGTTCACTATAACAACTGATGAATACATTAAGTCAGAAGCAGGCCCTCAGTAGCAACCAGAATCTTTGGCTAGACCTAGATCTTTCCACTTGTCCTACTGCAGCCTAATTTTAGCCAGGTTATAAAAGGATGTACACTGGAAAACATCCAACTTATACTCAACACAGCGATGATGACTCTTTCTTCAGAGCATCCATCTCAGATTGGGCCAGCTGGTACTGATGCTGACCCAAGAGTAAGAGGTCATTCATCGACCTCTCCACATCTCACCCAAACCCCTTTACCCGCCAGCCAAGGCGACAGTGCAGCCACAGCCCTGGGCCAGGAATAG